GTGTCCGGCAGGATTGACGTCGACCTCGCGCTCGTCGAGCTCGCCAGTAGTGCCATCAATGGCCACACAAAAGCCACTGTGGCGGAAGAAATTGGCAACAGTTGTTGCCATGACCTGATCCGAGGCTCGTTGGGACCTGATCCCAACCCAGTTGTTGTCGTGACCTGATCCCAGGCCAAGAGCAGTGTACCGGCGGCGCACAACACCAAACGCTCCAACATGTGGCGCCTGTAAAAGCACTTAACTTCTTAATGACCCCTTGGTCAATTGGTTGCAGGGCTGTTGTGTTCGGCGGCAGAAACGAGTGCTTGATTCCGAATCACGTGTGCTGAGCAGTTGTCGACTACCAAGAGCACGCTTCTGTTAGCTAATTCCAAGTTGCAATCAAGCTTTATCAGCCCCTGTTTGAATATTTCCCGCGTCACTCATGCCTTGCTGTTGGCTACATACTCTGCTGGTAGTGTGCGGATGGTCTTGAAGCAAGAAGCCTTCAGGGCTTTTTTTATGATGAGCAGCGGTAATTTTTGGGTCCCGGTCATGTTTGCTGCAATCAAGACGCGCTCTTTGCTTACCTTCCCGCGAGCACAGGTGTCGTCTTTGTTGGTCAATGTTTTACTTGGCAGCAGCTTATAAAATAATGTCGTTTGATCGGCATTAAATATATTGCGCAACGAATACTCTTCAAGAAGTTCTTGCAAAGTACCACTTTGCGCATTTCTCGCTGTTAAATTCTTTACCTTCGCCAGACATGGTGCGGAACACAATCTCGTGCCTCTTGAAAACGATGGAGCCAGCCCTCTGAAGCTTTAAAGTTATCAGTGTTCAGGCGAAGTGCGAAGTTTGCTGCTTTTGTCATAATGATAGGGTCGCTAAGTGGTATGTTTTGGCTCCTCGTTTCCTTGATCCACGTGAGCACTGCACTCCAATTCCGGGTGCTTTGCCGAGCGAAGCCTCTTGCCACTGCCAGTGAACCCATCAGTTGCATGGGACTCCTCAATCACTCTCTTATTCTTTATATATGTTGAAAAAATGCTTTTTGGGATTCCATGCTTCCTTGTGGTTTGAAGCTTGCTTGTTTTGCCAGCATCCACTTCACGAAGAGTTCGAGCAATTTGGTGCTCTGTTCTCTTTCGCGAGAATTCATAGTAAGTGCGGTATGCTGGGTCCAGCATTCGAAGGCAACACCGTCACAAAACCCAAGACACGACACAGAACCACTTTGTAGCTTTGACGCACACGTGGCCTTGCAACTGAATGTGCGACACACAAAGGTCACAGAGAGACGTCCAGCACTAACCACCACACGATGCGAAGAGCGCGCATGGTCACACAGTAACGCCACGTGACCATATATCTAGGTGCTGGATTGTATTACATTGCACCTGCGCTCAGCACTCGCTCCACCTATCGTAGAGCCATAAAAGCTTGCGGCGGCAGTATAAAATACCATCATGTAGCGGCGTGCAGTTCGAATTATCGATAGAAGAGCCGATGCGCGCGTGAACTGATGAGTTGGTTAACTCATAGATGCCTATACATCGTGGCCACACCATGGCCATCTGTTCGAATTAACCCGAAAGTTCTAATTAACGAGGTGCAAGTTGGCAAGCTTTCACTTTATTCATTGTCCAACAGATTGATGGACAGGGCACTTACACACTGGGCTCCTGCTTTTCGAATAAAAAATGCTTCATGTACTTCACGTGCCCTCTTATCCGTATATCTTGCCATTACTTGGCATTCATCAAACTTCACAATTCCCACACATCACATCAAAACTTCACAAACCCACAATTGGCACAGTGACTTGCCAGGTGGCTGCCCACTGATCCGCGCATGAAATTAGCATGCTCTCTAAGGCGATCGTTCAGACAGCTCCCTGTCTGACCGATGTAATATCGACTGCATGATAAATAAATGAGATAGACGATGCCTACACAGTCGAGCCTAAGTAACGCAGCCCCACTTAAAATGAACTTTCGCTTAAAACGAACAATATCCGCATGGCCGTAAAAATATACATTGTTTCAATGGCACAAATTCGCACTTACAACGAACTTCTCCGAGCGCCGCCGATCGGTTACAGCAGAGTTGGCATTCTGCCGACTTCCCGGGAAACCTCTTTCGACCACTGATCAGGCATCGGTGAGGTGCCCATAGATTCTTATTCTTAAATGCCGACCCTGCCTTCGAGCCCCTCTAGTTACCGCTCTCCCCGACTGCTTTTTGTTAGGCACCCCTCCGTCCTTTGTACCCCCCGCTACTATGAGCACCCCACATTGCCAGGCGAGACACAAGTTTTTTCACACTGCCACCGATCTTTCAAAGACCGGTCGCCCCTGTTTTTGATTCCTGGTACTGTCGTTGGCATCCCCGACTTGGAGTGACCAGACCATTTGCGGACATCGTCGACCACAGACTGTATTTGATCGTCAGCGTCTTGTCTTATTCTGTCGTTCCAGTGCACCTGCTTACGCTACCCCACCGACTCTGATAATTCGCGATTCGTTTTGTGTTTAGGACCTGTTATCGCTCACTTGCATTCTGCTCAGCATGCCTTCCGCACGCATGCGTAAGCATGAAAACGGCTGTTAATTTGCGCTGAACGAGTTGCGAAATATCAAAGTCGGTTAGGCCATGCAAACCCGCTGGTGCAACAAAACAATTCTTTGACCACGGCCACCATTGCATTCAACATCGGCACGCGGGCTGATCCAGGCAACTGTGCGTTGACCTCTGCGCGTGCAGGCACTCTTTCAATTTTTCTACGCGCGAGTTGTGCATTCAAGCAAGCTACCCACTGCCTCCTTCCCGCGTGTTTTTTGGTTTTCAAGGTCGTCTTCCCACCGTATCCCCCCCTCTCTTCAGCCTATCGCAACTCCTTGCTCTTCACTCGCAAATCTGCTCTCCTCGCTTGATAACAACTCTTTCGCCGGTCTCCACCACTCTGCAAGGACAGCCGCGCTGGCTCGAATTCAGAAGTTTCGTTTTAGACTAGAAACTGGCCCAGAGCTGTACTACGCGTTGTGGCATGTGTGTCGCGTGTGCGCGTCTTGCTCGCTCTTGGTGTGCGCGTGTATGGTCAGGATGGCGGACAGGAGGCCTTGCCTGCTTTTTCCTGCTGCTCAACGAAACGTCGAAAGTGGGACCGCTTGGCTAGGGCATCATCCGCACATTAGGCACCGCGTTGCGGAGCTTTGCTGTTGACCACCTGGCAGCCAGCTTGTTTTTCGGAGGACCACTGCGGCGGCGATTTGTGGCAGTGCGTCGTTGACTCCGACATGGGAGAGTGGGTGGGACATCTGCTGCGATATGTTTTCATTACGACCGATGATTTTGCTGCCACCGCGGAACCGTGCACAGATTAGGGCATTGTGAATGAAGTACGAGGCAAGAGCGATTTGAAGGAATCGGATTGCGAGAACATAGAAATTTTCGAGCCAGTGCCTCATGCAGCTTATGCTAAAGGCCTCGGCGAAAAGCACGCTGCCGTTCGAAATAAACTCGAGACCGCCCTCCTCGCTTCTACTCTTCGAAACAGGTGCGTCACGGACTTTTTTTGGGCAAAAAATTTTGTGTTATCACTCACAACTTTTTAAAAGCTGTGTTTAATTTACTACAAACTTCAAGATACAGCGAACGGATGCCGCGTCAGGCTCTGGTTCGTTATAAGCGGGCTCGACTGTAATACATTCTACGAAAATTTTTGCGTGCTTCTTATTGCACCCAACACTTGAAGTTCCTTTGTAGTTAACTCTTTTACATAGAGAGCCTAGCTTGTTTTTTGCCGTGAAGACAACCTTCACCCCAGTTTTTTCAATGATTCTTTTTATGCAGTGCGAAACTTCATGAGAAGTGGTAGACACTTTTGGCTTTGGCTCGGCTATTAAAGAGTAGCTACCAGCCCAAGTAGCCACTTTTTAGTAGCCACTCTTTTGCTCACATACAAAGCTCTCTGATGGCAGTGGCCCTGCTTTTTCTGCCACCCAACACTAAACTGGAGACCTTTCTTATCGCATCTGCACTGTTGAAACACAAAAAAATTAATTTGTGTTTTCAATTACAACTTTTTTAAAGCTGCATTTCACCTACTACAAGCTTCAAGATACCGTGAAGAGATGCCACGTCATGCTAGGGTTCGTTATAAACACCCTTCATTGTATTTGTTAAACCGGCATTGGTACAATTGAGAGTTTACTACATTTGAATTCGATTATCAATTATTCAAACCAAATCACTCTTAGCTTCGAGTTCCTTTCGAACTTAAAATTTGCTATTTACACAAGCCTAGTATGTCTTTATCAAAGTACAGGGTAAAAAGCGATATGCGGAAACCAAACTGTGGCCCATTATGGGCCTTGGCCTGGACCGCGAAAAAATTCACATGAGTCGTGATTGTATCTCTGAGATCTTACTATAAGGTTAAATGTATAACACCAGAATGCGCTAGTTGTTTCATGTGGTGTGTGCCACAATTGGGGGATGCACACAATGCTTTTATGGGCTAGTTTTCAGTGCCGAAACACAGCAGAAAAGAAGGGTCTTGTCCTCTCATCTTTCTTGTGTTGTGTTGTTGCACCATAAATGCCATGCATTGGTACCAACCAGCCCCCATTGCAGCTTTACTTGCACAATAATGTTGTGTTAGGTCTGTCTGGTAAAAGCTGGCATTCATGAATTGTTTTGATTATATTGCATTACAAAATAGCATAATTCATGTACTGGTGCAATTGTGAATATTTTTAGATTCTCGTTAGCTGATGCTGTTTCAGTCTTGTTGTAGCTGATGCTGTTTCAGTCTTGTTGCCTTGGCTATTGTTCAGTTTTTATGAAGTCGTTTGCATATGACATTCCTGTTTTATCGTGGGCATTTCAGTGTTAGTCACAAGTCGGCTCTTTCTGTCTTTTTTTTTTCTGCATAGTTTAGTTGTGCCAGTACCTCATTTATTAGATGTAAAAGCTGACTATGATGACGATTACACCTCTGTGTTTTGCTGCAGCGGACGACCACCAGGCTCTCATCTGGGACATTCAGCAAATGCCACGGGCAATCGAGGACCCCATCTTGGCATACACTGCTGAGGGCGAGATCAACCAGATTCAGTGGGCGTCCACCCAGCCCGACTGGATTGCGATCTGTTATAACAGTTGCCTGGAAATACTGCGTGTCTGAGAGTGTGGCCAGGACCGGAAAGTCACTTCTTGGCAATCGAGCACCGCCTACCTGTTAAGGATCTCTGGCAGTCTGACAAGCACTGCGAAATCGGATGCTTACTCGTGCCTTTACGTGTCAGATTGCTCGATCCAAAAGTCGGCTCGACCATCACATCTTTGTTGTCTGTGCAACACCTCAAAGCAAGGCTTCGAAACCATGGCCTATATGGCACGGCAACGCTGGAAGCTTAAGCATAGAAGGAATCCTGTTTCTGAAAGCAGACAAGGATATCCTTGTGTGTCAACTTTGACAATGTGAAAGAAATGGCTATGCAGCAAAGGGGCACTTCCTCTTCTGTTGACATTTTGCAGTAGTGACCCATCAACTCCTGCTAGGAAGATGGCGTCCATACCAGTGACTTATGTGAGGCCTTTGGCTAACTGTGCCAAATTGAGCGCTAGTTGTTGCAGCCCTGGCTTGCTGCGTATGTCAACAGAGCGCCGAGCTTCTGATTGCACTTTCATCTATTTCAACACCATCATGATCATCATTATGTGTTGCCTCGGTGCAAGAAACTTTCCCTAGTGTATGCGATTGAATTTGCACAATGTGTTCCGTGTTAGATTGATCATTGAGGCTGCCTTCTGTAGCAATGTCTTATCTAGAATGGGCTTTGTGGTGTCATTTTTTGGCATTTTATCTCAGTTTTAGACCTTTACTCATTGATCTTTCTTTTTAATGCACCCTCTTCTCACATGGTAGGCTTTGAGATGTTGAAGGTAGATTGTACAGATATACTGGTGAAAAATGAAAAATTGATGAATTACAGGAAATGCATGTGTTGTTAAATGGTCTCTATGTATGTTGTCAACACATGTCTGTAGAGCATTTCCAGTCAGGCTTCGATATTTCTGTTATGAAAAGTAGCCTACCATAAATCAAGCTGGTTTATGCAATTTAAAACTATGTAAGCACAGTCTTTTGGCTTGTTTTAAGGATGTGCCCTTTCGATGTCAGGATCATCTGGACAAAAAAAGCTTTGTAGTACCACAATGCTGTGCTTCATCATTTCATGTAATGTATGGCCACATCGCAGTATGCATAACTCAAATGCAGTGTTAACTTGTGGCTGGAATTTTTTAACAAGCAGCACTGTTTTAAATTGGCTGTGAAGGCCCTGCTGTTTGGGAGGCCAGGTACATGACAGGAGTATAATTTTCGTCTCTTAATGCAGCATTCAAAAAGTCGAAGGGTATTTATATTAAAGACCCATAGGTAGTAATGTGATGCTGTTGACCGAGAATTTGTTCTGGTGTCACTGAAGTATGATAGTATTAACATAGTGCTGCAATCGTTGAAAGTCCTGCACTTTACAAATGAAGCAGCACATACACTGGATGACTTAATCAATTTTTTTTGCTTGAGCTCTTTTGAAGCTATTGCATTAGCAAAGGCTTCTTGTATGATTGCATGCTTGCATGTAAGTGCAGTGACAGCACATGTCAGCTTTTTTTTTTTCCTCTCATCCACAGCCCTGTGTATTACGGTATCACTGCGTATCACTTCTTTTCTGCATCGTGTCAGTGCGTTCATGTCATTTTATTCACAACGTGACCCTGTTTGCTTGTCACGTCAATACGCAGGGTAACAGTCATCACAGTGTGGTGTGGTCGCGCTGGAAACTTGCCGACCGCAAGATACGGTACACCAAAGCAACAGTCTGTTCTTAAGAACAAGTGATAGACGGAGATGAAACCCTAGTGCACTGATACCTTCACGAATCCAGTGTTCTTTTCTATCAACAACCCTCCTGCAGGATCATCAGTGGCCGATGCAGTGCACAGCTGCGAGGGCCTCCGCAGTCATATTAGCGTTGGTTGAGGGCAGTGGTGTTCAGCGAGTGCACAGTGTGCGATAGATTTTAATAGCTCTGCACATCGGAGTTTGTGTGGTGATGGGGGAGAAACATGCTTGTCATAGGTGTGGCATCAATGAACGGCAAGGGCAGGTGAGATGGCGCAATATGTTCTGCATATCTGATACAGTGCTGTGAACAGTGTACACAACGCCGACACCATGCCTCACAAAGCACGATGCAGTGTGTGAGATTTCTTTGTCTCCCGTGGACTGAAGCAGACAGCGCTGCGAGTTGGACATTGGTACCAATGGAGTACGCCGCTTCAGATACATCAGCACCCATCGATGCGTTTTTAACTGCTTGATGTCATATAGTGTCTCATTTACGGACTGTGTGGTGCCGTTTTTGGCCATGGACGTCATTAACATGTCATGGAATACTAATGTGCCGTAGCTCCAGGACAGTAATCATTGAAAGTATTTTCAGATAGTTGTCTTTTTATCCCCTGTATAGCAGTGAATTTTCATTTAATTTTGATGGTTTCGTCCCAATGCAACATTTCACAATTTTCACGGTTTTTTTGCTGAGAAAGTAGAGAAGCTAAACTATGAATGCAAATAAAAACAAAAAATAGGTAATTTTGGAAAAAAACTTTCCTTTTCCGACTTGCATCTCCCCTTAAATGGGAAACATCAAATGCCGCAAATTGAAAGAAGGCAACAGTGACATCAACAACAGCTGTTATTAAGTGTGAATAAGTTTTTTTCTCTGAAACACAGCAGATATTATTGTATTTGTTGCCATAATCACCGTCAAGTTATATCTTGTGTGCAGCTGTTTAAGTTAAGCTTGGTTGTTCACTGTTTGAATTTAAGAGCCCATAAATGCAAAGGGAGTGGTAGAATTAGTACTGCCCGAACTAGTGTGGCTGGCCAGTTTTCGCTGCTCCCAATTTAATTCCGCATGATTGTTTCTGACGATTCCATCAATGTGAAATCGTAAAAGTTCTCTGTAAATGTTGCATTGCCAATGAATTTCTGTGCAGCACTGAAGATATATAAGCTGCTGCATCTAATTTATTGCCCAATTGAATTGCACCATTATGTTGCGTTAATCGTCTAATGTTCTGAAAACAGGGCAAACACAAGTGATCATAAAATAGCTGCTTTTTTGTCCTATGTTGTTCATTTTCACGCTGCCACTTTGGGATGATATCCGTCACTGTGGCAAGCCATTTTGGGCACACGACATCACCTCATTGAAAATGCATACATAGTGGGAAAAAATAAACGATGCTGTGTTCCAAGATTCACACAGTTCTCATTACTTATGTGTTTTCTGCTGAGTCCTTAGCCTCCCATTGGGATGTATTACAGTTTGGAAGCAGCAAACTTTAAAATAATTTCAAAAAATCTTTTTCTTCTCTAAAGTAGTAATGCCCGGCATAGAAATGCAGTAAATTTAGTATACTTATTGCACAGCACAGCATTTGTGGTTTCAAAAAGTGCAGGAATTATGATACACTAGTTGCTGAATTCAAAAAACTCGCCGTAATACTGTTTAGTTTGGCTGAACACGAACAGCTGCTTTCTAATCTTAGCTATTGTGAGGATTATTAATCAACTTCAGTGACAATGCAGTTGAATAATAATAGCACAAGCAAAAAAAATGCCCCCACCTTCCCGGAAATGCGTTGCGGTGTTTCGCACACGAGAACCTAGTGTTACAAAAATAATGTCTTTTTTTTTCTTACACCGTGCAGCCAATAGCCCCGTTTGCCACACGTGGTGTTTTTCTGTCGCGAGAAACATGGTATGCGTTTCCAGCTCTAGTAGTTGGCGTGCACGGTTAAAAAAATTGGCAGATCCCACGTACTGTGGAAATTAGTGATATGCGTAGCACGAATGAGAAAGGTTGAAAAGTCACTTTGAAATCGGCACGTTACAAGGTAGAGGTAAATGATGCTGTGCATGACTTTCGTGTAATGATCGTTTACCTTCGCCATCTATTCACGTCACCTGATACCAAATTTAGTATATGTGGAGCTAGCAAAACGGCCACGAGCACGCTATTAGCATGGTATGTTGTCATGTTCTTGCATGAAACGCGTGTCAGGATTATCATGTTTGCACCAGTCATATATTTCATCATCCATTGGCGTCACGTAACACTAAATTTGGTATCATGAAGAACCCAATATACTCCAATGTAGAGCTGACGCGCGCGCACGCTGGGCACAGCGACGCTACGTTAGCAAAACGCGGGCACTCTATAGTATGACGTTAGGTGCGACCATTATTCTTCGGCGCAGTCCGACGGCAACCGGCACGAAATGTGACATGCTGCATTTCGCACCGATGTGCAAGTCAGACAAGACTGCGTCTCCTTCTTTACGTGACGGAAGGATGGCAGACGCGCTGAGACGCGCATGCGCCAAAGAAACGCAGCGCGGCACACACCTGCGAGTATAAGGCAAAACCGGTGCCTGGCATCGCAACGCCGGCAAGCACGCGCACCGCCTGGCGTTGAAATGTATTGGTGCCTTGACTGTGGCATGTAGTCATGTTCTCACATGACACGCATCTCATGATTATCATGTTTGCACCAGTCACATACCTTCGTCATCCATTGGCCGCACGCAATACCAAATTTGGTATGTGTAAACTAGCGAAATGGCCATGAGCGCATCATGAGTGTGACATGTAGTCATGTTGTTACATGACACGCATCTCATGTTTATCATGTTTGCACCAGTATCATACCTTCGTCATCTATTCACGTGCCATAATGCCAAATTTGGTATACCGTAATTACTCGAATCTAACGCGCACCTTTTTTCCGGTTAAGCGAGTTCATAAATCGCATGCGCATTAGAATCGAGTACGAACAAAAAAATTACGGTCAATCTATTGCCATCGGCAAATCCAAAATGACCGCCCCCTACGTGCGTCGGCCATTTCTGCCTATGTGTTTTTTATGTGCGGCACTTCGTACGTGTGCTGAGGAGTTCGTCATCTAGTAGTGCATTTGAATCGACGGCGTGGATGGGCCGACTCCCAAAACTCGAGTGCACCACGATGCCGCTTTTAAAAGAAAAGTCATCGCGTGTGCAGAAACGGACGGAAATCGGGCCGCATCGCGGTCATTCGGAGTTCCCGAAACGTGCGTGCGGGACCGGCGGAAACAAAAGCAGAAGATTGTCGACAGCAAAACTTCACGCAAAGGCTTCTGTGGACCACACCAGGGTCGGTTTCCGCAAATTAAAGAGCTGCTCGGCGAGTATGTGCTTGAGCAGCGAGTCGCACAGCGGCCCGTGACGACAGAACTGCTCCAAGTGTGGGCTATCCAATTAGTCTTAGAAAAAGGTCTAATGCGGAGCCAGTTTTAAAGCGAGCAGGTGCTGGCTAACTAACTTTATGAAGAGAAAAGGCTTTTTCCTCCGAAGGGGAACATGCATATGCGAAAAGTTTTGCGGAGGAGTACGATGAAAAGCTTCACAGTTTTCAGAGGTTCGTCCTAAACTTGCGGCGCAACAACGGCTACCTGCTTGGGCAAATCGGGAATGCCGATCAGACGCCTCTTTACTTCGACATGCCTGGCACCACAATCGTCGAGAAGAAGGGGGCGAAGCAAGTTCGCGTGCTGACATCGGTTTACGGTAAAACTACAGTGACGGCAATGGTCTGTTACACGTCAGATGGTCACAAGCTTTGCCCGTACCTCATATTTAAATGGAAGACGCTCCCGAAAGGAGTCGTTTTTTCGAGTGGTGTGATCGTGCGGGTCAACGAGAGAAATGGGTGCGCGTTGCAATTGACGTCTTACGTTTTTTGTTTTTTTTCGCGGTGGAAATCGGGTGCGCGTTACAATCGAGGGCGCGGTAGAATCGAGTAAATACGGTAAGTGAAGCTAGCGAAATGGCTGCCTGCGCATCGTGAGCGTGGAATGTAGTCATGTTGTTACATGAAACGCATCTAATGACTATCATGTTTGCACCAGTCACATACCTTCGTCATATATTCACATACCGCAATACCGAATTTAGTAAATGTGAGGCTAGCGAAACGGCCGCGATCGCATCATGAGCTTGGCATGTAGTCATGCTGTTACAAGACACGCATGTCATGATTTTCATGTTGGGGTCTGTTGCTTATGTTTGCCATGCAATCGTGTCATACCATTGCCAGTTCTGCACCATGCCATGTGAACAAAACCATTGCAAGAGCTGCAGGACCATGAAATGTAAATAATGATATTCATGACATACGTGCTATGACTAGTCACATATGCTTTTCATACAGTCATGTTATGCCATGCCAAGTTTGGTATCGATACCGTTATCGAAACGGCCAGGAAAGCTTAATGTCGTAGGCGGCTAGCAAGGAGGTTCTGTACTATGTCTTCTGGAGTGGAGCTCCACCCCGATAAGTGAATCTAGTCGCTGCCATATTGGAAAAGGAAAGACTTGGAAGCAGATGACAAAGTGCGCTTCGTAGCTCCACCCTCGCAGTGGCCTTTGGAGACTGTAACATGCTTTTGTAAAGCAGTTAATGATTTTACAAGGCCATGGTGACTTCCTGCGTCGCTTATGGCTGCACAAATCGTATCAAGACGACGCCTGGAATCACTTTTCACGTGTAAGTATTCTCGTTTCGATTGATGACGATCACCTGTTTTTTCGCTTATGCTGTCAAATAAGAAAACAATATCAAAGGTGCGCATGCGTGTAATACATGCGTATAGCTGTATGGAAGGTAACTTGAAGCTTTAAATGCTCGCTGACACTACGTTGTCCATGAGATTTATGCTTTTAGACGAAGGGCTTGCCGTCTGTGGCAGCACATATCAAACATTGGAACGAATAGGACATCTGAATGCCCTTTGAATTCCACGTTTTCTGGTGTTGTCTTACAAGCCAAGACTGACGGCGTGCATGCACATTTTTTTGGCGAGTATCGAGAAATTCGCAAACGTAGAGAATAATTCCATGCCGTGATTATTCGTAATACAGGTTTCCGAAAAACAGTGCACTGCGTTCTGCCAGGGAACGTGCTGTTCGAAAAAATAGTTGGAGGGCTACGGACAATGACCACCTCTGTTCTATTCACTTCGAAGAATGCTGCTTCGACAGTACAGAACAGACAGTAACCAGACTGGGGCCTGGCAGTGCACCTTTGATTTTTTCCTGCTTTCTGAGCGCATCTGCAAAAGCCTGTTAGTTTCTACCTTCTTGGCGTAGCTTCAAGTTTCAAGTTTTATTATTATTTCTAAAAACAAGTTACAAAATATAGGATATACAGATGAGGGTCCCAAAGCCAGAGACTTTAATGGGGCCCTCGGTTTCGTCGACACAAAATATCGGTAAATTTTATGCAGAGCAACAGAAAATTCTTACAATTTACGGACATCAAAATACACTTTTACATCACAAATCAAGCCAGTACACGCAACATTGTATAAAGAGAAGTGAAGAACAAACAAGGCAAATAGGTAAACGATCACAAGTATGGTTGTCCAAGAAAATGATTTTCTACGGACTTTTTGAACAAAGGAAATGAAGTACAACGCTTAATGCTAGAAGGTAATGCATTTCAAAAGAATATTGCACTGAAAGTGGAAGTTTTTTTTGCCCATAATTAGTATGAGTTGGGGTAACAGGAAATTTTTATTAGCCGCAAACCTGGTCACATTATTATTCTGCAAAAGATCAGATGCAATAAATGGGAATGCCGGTTGATTACACAGCAATTTGTGGAATAAGGTCACAAGATTTGACCAGAACAAAAGATTTACTGGCAAGATATTGTAAGAGCATAGTAATGTGTAGGCGTTCGATTGCGAAGAACTAGAAGTGACAATGCGTATTGACTGATTTTGAATATGGTGTATTGATGATAAATGACAAGCATAAGTGTTGCCCCATGAGACTACACTAAGTAATATGATTATGAATGAGCACAAAATACAGCACCAGTAGAGCTTCGCGGGAAAAAAAAGGGCGAGCTTTGATTAATGCGCGGATCTCCAGGAACGATCGTTGGTTCCCTGATTCTGGTTCCCGGCATCTGCAACGATTTCCGGGAACAAGAATCTTGGAAGCTATTGACCACGATTTAGCAATAAGGTCTGATGAAAGTGATTTCCAAATTTGTATAATTTCTTGAGTGCCAACAGCTTGAAAACTTGCAGTCTATATTTATTATTTTTAAATAAATACGGTGTCCAATTCTACATTTGCATGCATGCATGCTTACCATGATTTATAACATTATCGCGAGTTTTGAGGGATAAATAAAATATTGATTCTGCACATACCACAGATT